GAAGAGCNAATGTGACCGACAACGTGTTCCAAGAAAATGCATCTCTTGTTCATAGACTCCATCAGTGTCACTTCCCAACCTATCCAGCGAAACCTGAACAAATTATACAAATTTCTGAAAAACTGCAACAAAAAAAATCGGAACTTTTGCAAAGTAGTTACTTACCTGGCCAAGCAATGGCTAAGATCAAACCCGGAAGACCCGCACCGCTCCCCACATCTACAAGGCGGAGGTTTTTGGACGAAGGGTTACAGTGAGAGAGATAAGAATTTCTAATAGGCGGTATGATTGCGAGCGAGTCCTCAATGTGCCTCTCCATTACCTCATCCGCCTCCTTAACAGCTGTAAGATTCATTTTCTGCAAGTTCAAAATTTTCATCAATTAGTAATCTTTTCATGATTTTCCCACAATTTTCTCAGCAACCAAACAGAGCTTTAGTGTAAAGAGAGAGAGAAAAAAACCTGGTTCCATTGGAGAAGAGTGTTGACATAGAGATGGACTTGCTCTTTTTGGCGGGAATCTAGCGTCTCAAAGTAAGAGGAGCTACGAATTGCGGCGGCGGTTAGGGTTTTGGGTCTGAATCTGTACGGACAGAGCGTCGCCGGATTTGATACCGGAAGGTGTTTGAAGAAAGTCGCCAAAACTGCGCAACGGCTAACTAACATCTTTCCCGCGCTCTCTGTCTCGGCCTCAACGGCTTTTCATTTCTTATTCTGAACCAAATTGAATGTGGGCTCGTTTAATGGGCTTTAATATTTCATAAATCAAATAATTTAGGCCCAAATATTAGGGCCCGAGTAAGAATGTTGGGCTAAGAGACTGTAAAACTTATGTGGGCTCAGTTCGGTTAGCCTGACTGCTCAATATTCTACTTGCACCTAAAAGGCGAAATGCTAGTATAAAGAGTAAAGCTAGTGTGGAATAGGAGAAGATATTCGGTAAGACTGATGAGTATGACTAGAGCATTTTTATAAAGGAACTTTAACGAAAAGCTCCCGGTACTGTTCACTTTAACGAAAAACCATACTTTTACACTAAAAAGTCAATCCTATTACTATTCATTTTACCCTTTATTTTGTCCTTATCGTTAAAACTCAAAGTTTTCAAGCCCTTTTCATTAGTTTTCTTTTTTTATAATGAGTGGAGACATCGTTGAGTCAAATGAAATCAAATGATATTAATAGAATGTAATTGCAAAAAATATTTAGTAAAAGCATCTTCAAAGGATATGTCAAAAAGTCCACATCAGTAATAACAATAATAAAAAACATCCTTAATATTTTCCAACCGAAATGTCAATTTCTAAGTGGCATGACATGAAAAGGCAACAGAGAAAGTTGCTTTTCATAATCTATTTTTAGTAATTAATAAATGCTTTTCATAATTTTTATACTTATCTTTTGTTTCAAAATACTAATTACAACTAAAAAATAAATAATAGTTTAAATTTGACATATAAGTTGGAGAACAAAATTTATAAAAAAATCAATGTGCCACATAAGCCTTCAAATTTAAATTTTGTGTTTAAACTTTGACATCTCATTTGGAGATGGTCTAAGACTGTCTAATTAGAGCATTTCAATAATGATTGAGAATTGCAACCAGAGGAATTAGAATACACAAATAAAATGAAATAACAAAAGAAATTTGATACCATTGTCTAACTAAACCCACTCTATTACCAAGTTATAACTTCTTTTTTGGTCAAATACACCGAGTTCAAATTGCATCTCATACTTACCGTATTTGAGATGAAATGACATCGATATTTTGTTGAGATATTGTATAAAATTGATATGATTTTGACGCTAATGGTGCAAATACAAGTCCATCAAACCCCCATACTGACTGAAAACGAGATTGATATACATTGTAGCAGATAATTTTGCTCCTCCTTTTTTTTTCTCTTTAAATTTGCAAAGGCATTTTCTTGTCCATGTAAATTTGATGCAATCTTGTATTTTGAGATGTAAACTGCTTCCATGTGTTGATGCGCATGCTTTTGGTTTTGTGCTCCAGCTTGGGCATTGAATACTCTGTGAAAACTAGTGTCACAAAATTTGGATGACCAAAACCCAAAAATGTTCTCTTAGTTAGTTACTTGGTGACCAATAAATAGTTGGTTAATATGCGCTGCGCGACAAAGTTTAAATCCCACCGTTCATTACGATCCAAAGGCTGATATTAGAAGAAAATAATCACCGACTGAAAATGGGGACATGTGTCTTTAACAAAACACAAAATAATAAAAAATAATAAAAAAACCATAAATTTTTTTTTTGTTATGAATAATGCTAGAGAGAACAAAATTTTAAACTAAATGACATGTCACCAGTTGAAAATAAACATGTTAATCAAAACTTAACTAATAATCCAATCATTAACAATCATGTCATTTGGTTAGCAAATTTGGTTTAAAAATTTGATCTCCCTAGCATTACCAATTTGTTATTATCAAGTGATTTGTGGTTTGTGTTAACCCAAAATGAGATTCATTTTTTCTCCGTAATTAATATAAATCTTTCTCGGTCTAGCAAAATACTAGGACTCTCTTTGTCGTCGTCCTTTTTCCTGCTTTGCATTTTAGGAATATTGAATGTGTGGCTTGACTTGGCCACCTATATTTTTGGACGTCTCAAACACGTTACTATGAGCAGAAGCAGCCCTTCTCAAGTCGAAGGGAATCAATGGATGTGTGAAAGTATTGGGAACTCGGTATTTGCTATAATACTTACATATCTAATATAATTATCATTTCGATTGTCAATTAAGGATTTTATTAAAAGTTTATGTGATATTTAATATTATAGTTTGATAACATTTTTCTTTATTTGTAATAAAAAAGTTTTAGGTTCAAATCGTGAATTATGAGTTTGTAACCAATTTATTCGCCTCACTCCTTGGTGTGAATATAGCAAGGAATTCAAAAAGCATTAAAGAAAAAGTAATAAGAAAAATGTGTAAATATAACAAATTTATTCTCTCCACCCTTTGTGTGTACTTGTAACACTAAGGCCTCATTTGGTATTGATTTTTTTCACAAAAACAGTTTCAATTTAAAGTTAAACAGTAAAAACGTGATTGGTAAAAAAAAATATTCTACCTATTTTTAACGCATTGGTCTTCAGACAGCAGCTTTTAAAAGTCTAATGATATTTTCTTTTCACTTATAAATGAAGATTTAACATTATGAATTAACTTCGTTCATGACTCAGTGGATGAAGGAGTTCTTCCTCAAGATACTTAGTTTTCAATTCACGAAATTTCATATTAATGATCGAAACCATTCAAATACTTTGTAAAGATCATTAAAAAAAATTAATAAAATAAGAAATCATGTAGTCATTCAACTATATAAAAACAAACAACTAAAAGTATTATAAAATGTCGATTTATTTGCTACAACTGATTGACTAAATGACCTTACAAATTTTCTCTAACTTTATGCATGTACTACAAGTAAATCACACACATGCCAAAACATTTAAAACGAATAATAAATCCAGAATATAAGATTTTATCCAACTTTATGCATGCAGCACAAGTCAACAAATATTGTATTCTGAACGAATAATTCCAAGGACAAAGTAAAGAATGAATAATTCCAAGGACCAAGACTTTAAATTGCTAAAGGTATGGCTATGTTTTGGTCACATATTGTATTGCCTCTGATAGCTACTTGTAGCCCCACCTTTGATTGTGCGTGTTTGAGATGAAATGGCAAATGCATTGGAGAAGGAGAACCATTGGTTATTTTATTGTACAAAGATTTCCACAAGTATTGAATAGTCTTGTTATTTTATTGTACAAAGATTTCCACAAGTATTGACTAGTCTATTTTCAATCTTGTCCATTTATTCTTTACTATTCATCATTACGTACTATTGAAGAATTTTCTCATTTTGTGGTATTCTCTTTGGTTGTGCTCCAGCTTAGGCATTGAGTACTCTGTGAAACTAGTGTCACAAAATTTGAATGACCAAGATATATATGGTCATTCACTATTGATTTGATATTAACTGCGGAGAAAAAATGGATCTCATTTTAGGTTAACACAAACCACCAATCACCTCACAATAACAAACTGATAATACTAGAGAGCCCAAATTTACCAACCAAATGACGTGATTGTTAATTATTAGTTAAATGTTGATTAACGTGTATTTCCTATTGGAAACATGTCATTGGGTTTGCAAATTTGGTTAAAATAGAGTAATGTTACACTTACCACCTACTTGAACCATCTCTCTAATAAAGCTAAGGCCCGTCAACACATATGAGTTTCATATCTATTAGAGAAATAGTACAAATAATGGTACAACTAGGTGGTAAAAGTAGCATTTTTGTTAAAAATTTGGTATTCCTAACATTATCCATACCAAAAACAAATGAGAAATTTTATTTGAACTTATATAACTTTTTTTTACACCCAACTTACTCTCTACACATATATCGTACCTATTTTTAAAGCAACCGCATTTAGACAACAGCTTTTAAAAGCAACTTGTATGTTACATTTAAAATTAGGAAAACTAATGAAAAGGGCTTGAAAACTTTGAGTTTTAATGATAAGGACAAAATAAAGGGTAAAGTGAATAGTCCAGGATTGACTTTTTAGTGTAAAAATATGGTTTTTCGTTAAAGTGAACAGTATCAGGTGCTTTTCGTTAAAGTTCTCTTTAAAATTTGCTTTTTATAAAAAAAAACAGAGCTAAGCGTTTAATTAATATTTTTAATTCTTATAATACCCTCATTAATTAAAACTGACATTATTTATCCTTCTACGTATATTTTTGCCCTCAGAGAACAAAGACCGCCACCATCTACCACAACGACTAACCTTATATCACCACCACCACCATTACCACCACTACAATCGACACTACTACCACTGCCACCACTGCTACAGTGCTACCTATACACCCCAACCACCACACCTTATTATTGTCACAACCACCAAACCCCCCACAATTGTCGTTGCCATCACTGCCACTATCCCCACCACTGCTGTCGTTGCCACCACCCCCACAACTATGCCTATGTTTGTCATTATATACAATAGTATCATTTTTCCATTAAATTTACCAAATGATTTTACACTCCTTTTCATACTCACATGACTAAATATACAGTTTATTAAATGTTCAACTGCTTTATTTTACAGCTGATTATTCTTGAAATACAATATAAGCAGTTAAAAAAAAACACACACACACAGCAATCACAAACTGACCTTAAAGCCTTCTACGTGTGTGGAAAATTTGTGAAAATGGTTTTCTAAATATCTAAAAGGTCGTGGGAGTTTAAAGTGAATGGAAATTGCTCAAAAGTATACAGGGTTATCCTATTGTCCACATTTAAGAGGAAATTTAAACTTTTAGTATGCAGAGAACATCTCAGGTAATTAATTTTTAGTTATCCTTTCATAAAACCCCACCATATCCGCTGCCAGCCTACCATCTCTGCGATCCTCATCAACATCTCAATTAATTCCTTACAAATAAAAAATAAAAAATAAACTTGACCAAATAAATAAATAAAAAATAAAAAATAAAATAAAAAACATCTCAGATAATTCCTTACAAATAAAAAAATATAAAAAATAAAAAGCATGTTGGTTTTGAGACAGTGTCGCGAAAAGGCCTACGCCATCAATGGTAGACCG